AAAAAGCTGAGGGCCAATCTACCTGAAAAAGTGTCTCAATCCAGGGGAAGACTTGTTTCTGGAGTCTCAGTTTCTTGGAAAAAAGGATCCAAGAAGTACACTGAGGAGAGGGACTCGCAGAAGGTCTGGTATAAAAACAAGTAGCACATTCCTAGAATGGGACAATTTCATATATACCCACTGATTTATGATAATCTCACACCAAGTATGCAGGATTTTTTGATGCTCTACATCTGGCTACATGTGCTCTCCATTTAGCAGGATTAGTTTGTGGACAGGGCCACAGATGGGCTGGATCCAGCAAGTGTTTGTGTACCAGCTACATGGTCTTTGTGTTGCTACTACACTGAGATGTATTGTAACCTGGATTTACTTGGTCAACTAAGGCTATGTCTAGACAGCAGGCTTCTTTGAGAAGAGATTTTTTCAAAACAACTTATTCCGAAAGTGTGTCAACAAAGCAAAAGCACATCGAAAAAGCAATCTGCTTTTTCAAAAGATAGCATCCATACAGAATGGAGACTATGAAAAAAGTGGCCTTTTTTCTGAAAAAATCTTCCCTTGCGTCTAGACTGCTGCTGCGTTCTTGGGAAAGTAAATTGAAAGAACGCAGTAGTTTTTTTGACCGCGGAAAAACTCATTTTATGAGGAAAAATGCTTTTTTCCAAACATGCTCTTTTGAAAAAAGGCACTATGTAATGCAAACTGTGCTTTTTCAAAAGAGAGCATCCAGACTGCCTGGGTGCTCTCTTTTGAAAAAGTGGCTTGCTTTTTCGAAAGTACTGGTTGTAGTCTAGACTCTCCTTTTCGAAAGTGTTTTTTTTTTAAAGTATCTTTTGAAAAAGCCTCTTTCGAAAGAGGCTTGCTGTCTAGATGTAGCGTAGCTCACATTTAAGCTGTGATTGCTCTGGACAGAGTGGCCACCGGGGCACCTGTGTTTTTTTTCTCTTTTCCTCTTTCCTCTTCTTTCAAAAGATCTCCCTCTTTCCCGTCCCCACACACCTTTTCCCAAAAGATCTATTTCTCATTGAAAGAGGTTTACCAGTGTTGGAAAACCCTCTCTGTTCTTTTGATTTATTTTTCAAAAAAACTCTGCAGAGTAGACATACCCAAAGAGTGGTCAAATAGTGTTGCCTACTTTGACAGTATGATTTGAGGAAGGGGCAAGGAACACAACAAAACCTGGTAGGAAGCAGCAGGCAGATAATAGTTTTTGTAGTGCTATGCAGAAAGTATGCATAGTGGCTGCTCCTTTTTAAAAAAAATTGCAAACTGCAAAAGCCAAGTTACTTGCTTTCATTTGTAAGGACAGTCATGGCTGATTCACATCCTATAATTTTTTTACATAGTATTGAGCCATTGGTCCCACCATGGTCACTCCACAGATTCCAGCTCTGTCCACTGTTCATTTTTCCAGTAAGTACCTCTCCACTTTCTCCCACGCTGCCTGATAATGTGTGTGTTATCCCTTCGTTCCTCCTTGTGGCCCAATGTGGCACTGCAAGTATGCCTCAACTTTTCCCCAAATTTAGGCAGCATTAATTTCACTTTACCATCTTGAGGAGATCGGGGTGGGAGCTGGGGGGAGGGGAAGTAGCTGCTGGTTCCAGCCTGGAATTTGCATTTGCATCCATGAAATTTGCATTTTTCTCTCAGTCACCATGCCTGCAAAAATCTCAGCTGGGGTAGGTAGGTGACCACGACTTTTGTGCTGCCTGGTGTTGTCTCGTTGTTACTTTGTGCCCATCCCAGACATTTATTTTGTTCACCTGCTGCTGCCTCTTGTATTATGAAAAAATGACATTCTGGCCACACTGAAGTCAATGGCAAAACTCGACTGAATGCCGCAGCACCAGGATTTCTCTCTTAGATTTAAGCTCTTTGGAACAAGACCTCATTTTGGTTATATGTCTATGCAGAGTCTGTCACTGTAGGATGCCATTCTCAACATCAGTAATCCTAAGACATTGTTAATAATACAGAAGAAATGGAGCTGCTGCATTTCTTCTGCACTTACTTGGTAATATTTTTGGTCCCAGATTGAAAACTGAGCTGGATCCAGGTGTTAGGCTGTGTGATTTTGTGCTGCTGCTGAGTCAAGTTGCAGGTCTACATCGGTGGGCCCCAAACTTTTTAGTTAAGCAACCAAACAACTGCATATTGTCTTTTTTTTTGGGTGGGGGTGACCCATTCAGAATCTAAATTGGGGTGGTGGGGCAAAATCATAGACCAAAGTCCTCCTCTGCCACCTTCTCTTCATCTTGCCAAGGGGACACTGACCATCCACAGCAGCATCCTCTATCCTGGCACCACAGCTCTAATCTCAGAGTGGTGCAGAGGGAATGCCCCAAGGTGTGGGGGGCTGTTATGTGAAGAGTTAGCCCTGCACTCAGCCCACAGTGAAGACTCCTTTCAATGCAGGGATGGGCTCCCTGCTCTTGGAGGCTCCCTGCTCTTGGAGGTTCCACCTGGCAAAGGAGGTCACAGCACCAGTCCATCATGATGACAAGGAGCAGCTTGGAGAAATGTCAGTGGCGTTGTGACCTGCCCATTCAGTTGCAGTGTCACTCAGATTTGGCCTACGCAACCCCTTGCAGCATCACTCAGGAATGACCTGTTTCTCTGACATGACAAGAATAGTCAGGTCAAATTTGATAGCAGTTAAAAATGGTGCAAAAGCAGGAGGGTGCTGAGCTAAAGCCCGTGGGACAGAAGCCATTTGTGCAGTGTAAATGCTGAGCAGGCTAACTATCCAACTTCCCTGCCCCTGGGTCTCTCCTCCACACTGATCCTGTGATCCATTGACATCCTTTCCATGATGCAGCCCATCCTTTGAGAAGCATTGACCTAGATATGTTGATAGAGTGTGAGTTGCTACATTAAAAAAAAGAATTAGACAACAGAATTTTGGAGAAAGAATATGGCTAAAAATGGGCATGCTCCAGTAAGATCCAGATACTATATCTGTGTTTTTCATATGCTCTTAGGCTGGATACATCAAGGTCTACTTTATCAGTCGTGGAATGGTGGCTACACTTGTAGGCTGAGACCCTGGGTGAAATAAAATGCGAGATTCTGGCAGAATCCAGGTATGTCAAATCTGTATTGTTGTGTCACTTTAAACCAGACTATACATAAAATCATAAAATCACAGAACTGAAAGGAACCTCGAGAGGTCATTAAGTACAGTTGCCTGCACTCATGGCAGGACCAAGCACCATGTAGACCTTCCTTGACAGGTGTTGGTCTAATGTGTTCTTAAACATCTCCAGTATGGAGATTCCACAAGCTCCCTTGGCAATTTATTCCACCCTAGCAAACAATTTTTCTTAAACTTCCATTGGCAATTGAAGCCCATTTCTTCTTGTCCTATCATCAGAGGTTAAGGAGAATATTTTTCTCCCTCCTCCTTGTAACACCCTTTTAGGTACTTGAAAACTGTTATCATGTCCCCTCTCAGGCTATGTCTAGACTACGGGGGTATTCCGGGATACTGGGGACACTGACCATCCACAGCAGCAGCCTCTTTTTTTTTTTTTTTTTTTTTTTTTTTTTAAGGAAGAGCAGACATGCTATTTCGGAAGCTCTGTCTTCCACATGCCACAAGGAAGAAGGGCTCTTCCAAAAAAGGAGGATTTTCTGAAATTTGGCCCAGTGTAGACAGGCCAAATTTCAGAAACGCCTCTTCCTACAAAACTATCTGAAAAAGGTACGCAAATTGTGGAGTGCAATTTTCGTACCTTTTTCCCGATGAAGCATTGTAATCTAGACATAGCCTCAGTTTTCTCTTTTCCAGATTAAACAAATCCAGTTCTTCAGTGTTCCCTCATAGGTCATATTTTCTAGACCTTTAATCATTTTTGTTGTTCTCCTTTGGACTTTTTTCAGTGTGTCTACATCTTTGCTGAAATGTGACACCCAGAACTGGAAACAATACTCCAGATGAGGCCTAATTAGTGTGTAGTGGAGAAGAATAATTGATTGATTTACACCACTTCTGCTAATGCATCCCAGAATGATGGTTCCTTTTTTTTGCACAGGGTCACACTGCTGACTCATTTTTTAGCTTGTAGTCCACTATAACACCCAGATCCTTTTCTTCAGTACTCCTTTTTTGCCTCAGGATACACAAAGATCTGTAATTTTTTTATATAGATGGAACAGCTAGCTGTGTTCTATATTGGAATTTGGGGGTGAGTAGAGAAACTGGCAAATTCCAGCACATTATATATTTTGGATCAGGATTTTTGTAGCAGTGTGGTGCTGCATTATGAAGAAATCCAAGATCTTTGGTGCAATGAAAGGGGCTGGACTTGTTCCAAATATCTTCTCTATGTAGGCAGTGCAGGGATATTTTGACACATACAAATGGCTGGATGTATTCTTTATGTATGAAGTGGAAGTACTGGGGCTTTGTTCTGTTTTTTTGCAACACTGTTCCATGGGAGATTTTTGTGGCATATGTGTTCCCTACATAGCCAGTAGAATTTGGGGGCTTGAGGGCAAAGATTAGCAGTCTCAGAGTTTTTGAAGCATGCCAATGCTAAAATGTGCCAGATTCCATGATTTTTTGGTGCAGTCTAAGTATCAGAGAATCTTTTTTGTTCAGGTAGTACGTGGGGAGCTGGATGCAAAAATCAGTAGCATACAGTAAGACAGATTTTACTTATTTCTAAAAAGCATCAACTTGAAATGATAGCATCAAGAATGTGCAAAACTTGAATATATACAAATATTTCCCTTGGGCTGTTGAAAGGGCTGTACAGTATTTTGACATGTGGCGCAAAATATATCCAAAGTATCCAGACTGTTGGTTTGTGCAATATTCTTTCTTCCTTGCCCCGCACATTCTACAATTCTGTACAAAGGAGAAATGTCTTAAGCATCCGATCACAAGTAACCCTGATTACCAGCCTACAGAGAGCTTGATGAAGTACAGAAAATCCATCACTGACTGATGCTTTCCCTGTGTAAAATCGGATTTTTGTATTTTGCTAATCCCTGGTTACAATCTGTGTCCTGCTCTTTGTGATCCGCCCTGCAATCAGAATCCAGTCTGCCCAGATGCAACCTGGGACATTAAAATATCCTGGATGTTGGAAAACAGTAATTTATTAGCCTAATCTTAGGAAAAGAAGGGGAGGTGATTTTGGGGCACATTTTTTTTGATCCTTCTAAGGTTTCTGCTATTTCCGGAGGTTGAGGAGTGCAAGCTACCTTCAGCGGCAAAGCTGAGACGTGGAAGTGGCCCCAAGCTGACACCCTGGAGAGTCTGCTTAGGACTGTTTTATTTCTCCTGGGATCAGGGAGAGTTTCTAGGAGATGCTCCCATACATCCCCTGGATCTTTTTCTTGGCAGTGTTGAAGGCAAAAGGCGAGCTGCCCTTCATTGCAGAAAACAATGCAGCTATGATGGTGAACTGGTAAGGAAACATGTCTTTGTTCTTTAATGGGAGGCAGCTTGTTTTCTCCATGAGGCTCTTTGCTGCTAGGGTAGCAACTGTGATTATTTCAACATGCATATCCTGGCTGCTGAGTCTTTTGGTTTATTTAGCAACTGCTTTATGGATATGGAAGGGCTTGAGAACGGTTAGAACTTGCAGGCAAGTGAAGGATAACTTTGGTTTGCGATTGCCTTGCACTATGCAGAGGAAGATTGCTCTTCTTCTGGGATTGTTTGGGGAGTAAATAGTAAGCCTAGCTGGACTCAAGATGAGTCCCACCTTCCACAGGGCTATTTGTTTGTTTGTCTAATTTTGAATAGAGAACTTCTCATTCCTTAAACCACCCTACCAACTTTTGTGGGGGGAGGGGGAGGGAGAGGACTGTGCGCACACTGAAGTGTCCTAAATATCCCTTCCATGGAGAGAAACAGGTTACCAGTCTGGTTTACACCTTCTCCTCGGGGTCTCAAATTAGACCTCAGAGCCTGTCGTTTTTAGCCAATGAAAGGAGGTGCCAGGTCCTCACAATAAACACACCTTGGTGCTTTACTAGTGTTCCTTTCTGCCCAGCTCACTGCTCAAATCTGTATTCTAAAAGTTCCCTGTGAATAAAGCCACGCGTGTGGGGAGAACTGGTTTTGTTTAAAGGCAGGATACTTTCAGTTCCAATCATAGGAGCCCTTCTACTCTACTCCATTAATTCCCTCAAGACAAGTGTATTATATAACCTATTAAAGCCTCTGTGCTGCAGAACCCAAGTAACTGTCAGGGCTGGTCGGAATTCACCCTCCCAGGTGCCCCCCCTCCTCTTCCATCAGAGCACAGGGCTGCCCTGACATGGAAGCCTTAAACAGGAGGTGGGGGAGAGAAGGGAGGGGGCTCACGTGGGTGGCTGGGCTGGGATTAAAGCTTCTTTGCCTCTCTAATGCTGCCACATCTGGCGCCTCCACTTCCAGTTACGGAGGAAATGGGAATCCTTGGGGTTAGCACCTCCTCTCCGGCCACGTGGAGTCCCCGACACGCTGCAAAGCCCAACAACAGCTGCCACCTTCCCTCTTCCCCTCCCCCAAATGCTTTCATCAAGTGAATCACTATAAACCTAGGGATTGGTGCACAGCTCACGGATAGGCAGTGTTTATCTCCCAGGGCTGTTCCTCCAGCAGGGAAATAAGCCAACAATAATGCTAGGATATCAGCAAATACAGTAGGGCCTCAGAGTGAGGAACACCTCCAGAGCAGAAGTTGTTTGTAACTTGGAAGTGTTCTTAACCCTGAACAAAATGTTATGGTTGTTCTTTCAAATGTTTGCAAGGGTAAATTGACTTAAGATAGCTTTGAAACACTACTACACAGGAAAAAAATGTTGCTTTCCTTTATATGTTTAGTAGTTTATGTTTAGCATGGTACTGTGCTGTATTTGTTGTTTGTTTGATTGTTTGTTAGGTTGGTTTTGGCCTGTATTGCTGCCTAATGGCATAGAACCAATTCCAAATGAGGTGTGTGGTTAACTGGTCAGGTTGTAGGTCTGGTGCTCGTAACCCTCAGGTGCTACTGTGCAGTTGCCTAGTGCTGATATGCATCTCCCTATTGCCCCCATCAAAGAGCCAGGAGTCTGTAAGCATCTCCCCACTGAACCTCATTTTCCCCTGAGCAACTGTGTGGTGGAAAGATGCATTTTACCACACCTGTACTGGTACTGATGTTTTCAGTTCCTACAGTCTGGCCCATCAGATGATACTGGTTAAGTCGTGACCCATCTTCTGCAACAACCACAGATGTAGTGGTGCTATTAGTCCAGACATAGACCACTTCAGAATTGGGATAAGCATCTGTTAATGGAAATAAAGATGAGAAGTCAAAACAGAGATTAATTTCCTAGTGGACTCTTAAATTATATAGTTTTGGGAAGAGGAGGGGGTAAAAGAGAGGAGTGACAGTGGGTAAGAGAAACAAATAAAGATGATATAACAATGTTCCCATATGTCCAGCTTTCAAAGTATTAGGTTGAAGCCTACTCGTATAACAGATGTGTGGGATGGTGTGTAAAGGGGATGGAACAGTGGAGTTACAAATATAATCCTTTAGGGCCATTTGATTTAGGAGAGATTTTTCACTGGAAGAGTGAAATGTGCAGGAACTGGTGTGGGAGTGTGCAGGCTGGTGTATATGCCTGAGAGGGGTTGGTGAGTGTGTACACGGGAGGTGGGAGGCTGATGTTTCTGTATGTGTGTGTGTAGAAGGTTGCTCTGTGTGTGTGTGTGTGTGTGTGTGTGTGTGTGTGTATTTGATATGATTTCTTTGTGCCTCTATGTTCTTTTGGAGGTCCCGGGAATCAAAGAGAATGGTAGAATTGCCAACTACATGAATTTATTGTGTCTTCTTTTGGAGGTCCCGGGAATCAAAGAGAATGGTAGAGTTGCCAACTACATTAATTTATTGTGAATCTCACCATATTTTGTATTTTTTTTCAAGCCCCAGCACCTGGATCATATTACTATACAAGAACTTCAGATTTCACATTTAAATAAAAGTTTCAAGCCTTTGTGGTTGTAAAGGAAAGCTTGAAAACAACATCAGTAAAGTCTTAAAAAGCAGGAGGCATTTAAACAAAGACTGACTTTTAAGAAAATCTTATTATTTTGGACTTAGGTGTCTTACAATTTTTGAATGCTTGGGGGTGGCAATGGGGTTGCAATGAACCACAGACCATTTTACTAAATTATCTGGAAAAACTATTGACCAGGGCCCCAATTTCCTTGCAAAGAGAATGCAAATTGCAGGTGTGATGGACAAAAAAATGCTTGGTAATAATGTAAGAATATTTATATGAAACTTAATATAAACACAGATTCATGTTGGACTAGAGAAATGTTTATTATAGTGTCACCTTCAGTAGGGTCTGTGCAGGGTTGCAGCACAATAGCTGGATATTTTAAGACTATTCAGGCACATACTTGAACATAGGTCCCAGAACTAGGAGTGTGGGGAATGGAAAGGGAGGTGCTGCAGCACCCCCCTCATTTGATGTGGTTTCCATTATACACTGGATTTCCAGTTTGGTTCAGTGGCTCTCAGCACCCCCCACTATAAAAATTGTTCCAGCACCCTTGCACTTGAAAGATAACGGGCAAATTGTTAGCTAGCACTAAGGGTTCTCTATTCTGTTTTCAATAAGTTGTAAACCTGTTTTTTCTAAAGCTGGTAGCCTGTCTTTGAAAGCAGGAGCCCAGAGAAGGACTTAGGGATCATTGCTAAGGCTAAGATTTTATCATCCTATTTTCAGTAAAAGTCACAGACTGCTCACGGGCAACAAAGAAAAATGTATGAAGCCCACCACTTGTCCTCAACTGTTACTAAAAATGTATGTGGTAAAATGAAGAGCACCTGATCCCTACCCTGCTCTTGGTGTCCCTGGCTTGGAACCCCCACTGCCTGCAGTAGTTCAGAGCTGCTGGGTCCTCTGCTACCCACAGCAGCTGAGAGTTGTGGGGCACCCCCACAGCTTGCAGTGGCTGGGAGCTATAGCACAGAGGGGCAGTGGGGTCCCATAGGCTCTGAGCCACTGCAGGCAGAGGGGAGACCTTGGGAGGGAACGCCACTCCAAGCATCTGAGGGCTAAAGTAATGGAGGTCTCTGGAAGTGAGGGATTCCATGACTTCTGTGACCTCTGCAACAAAATGATAGTCTTAATCATTGTTCAAAATCTCTCAAACAAGAGTGCTCAGTGAAATCATGTCGCAAAAAGGGCTCATAATCCTTGGCTGTATAAAAAGGGGAATACCAGACAGAAGTAGGGAAGAAATACTGTCTCACATGCAGCATTGCTGAGACTGCTACTGGAATACTGTATCCCATTCTAGAGACCATTCTTCAAGAATATGGGCTAGGAGCTTGCTCCATCCACTCTACTCATCTACTTCCTTTTGGGGGAGGCATGTAGCCTCATTGACCGAACATTGGCCCAGGACTGAGAACACTGGGTTCTATTTCCAGATTTGTCACTGGCCTTCAGGATGACCTTGTGGAAGTCACTTCACCTCACCTCAGTTTCCTCATCTGCAAATACCTAAAATGGTGTTACAAGGAGGAGGGAGAAAATTTGTTCTCCTTGGCCTCTGAGGATAGAACAAGAAGCAATGGGCTTAAGTTGCAGCAAGGGAGGTTTAGGTTGGACATTAGGAAAAAATTCCTAACTTGGGGTGGTTAAACACTTGATTAAATTGCCTAGGGAGGTGGTGGAATTTCCATCACTGGAGATATTTAAAAGCAAGTTGGATAGACATCTATCAGGATGATCTAGACAGTGCTTGGTCCTGCTGTGTGATGACCTCTCAAGGTCCCTTCCAGTTCTAGTATTATATGATTCTGTGGTGAATATAGTGACCTCCATTGTGAAGTGTCTGGAGATCTACAGATGGAAAAAGCCCTATATAAAAGCAAGGTGTTTTATTAATTATCATTTTTGTTGTTGTTGTTGTTGAAATAGTAAAGGGTTCAAAGAAAGGCCACAAGAATGGCCCAAGGCATCTGATGTGAGGCTTAAGGAGCTTGAACTTACTGAAGACAAGGTTGAAAAGTGTCTTGGTCGCTGTGTACAGATACTGATCCATGGAAAGTGATCTGAAAGTAGGGGATTTTCAACTTCTCTGAGAAGGGCATAACAAGATTATGTCTGGAAGTTAAAATTAGAAAAAAATCAACCTTGAAATAACACACGATTTCTTAGAGGAGAGGGTAATTAAAGTCAGCAACAGATTACCAGGGGAGGGGCTGGACTCACCATCACTTGGAGTGTTTAAGACATGACATATACCTTAATACAAACTTTCAGCTTGTTTCTGGAAGACGTTCTGCAGCCTCTGTCAGTGGGAGGCAGGGGGAAGTTCAGGCTGGCAGATCAAGGTAGTCCCTTGTGTCTTTGGAAGCTGTAATTCTATAGTTTCTCCCTTCCTTCATGGAGGAGGGGAAGAATAGGAATATCTCTGTTGCCCTTGATATACTCATAATGCTTGCAGCTTTGTACAAAGTCAATGACTATAAGCAAGTCTCATGTTTCAGGGCTTCAAGGGTCAGGAAGGAATTCCCTCCTCCCTCCTCACCCTATCCCAGTGCACAGTTGACCAGATGCATTCTGGGTTTGTTTGGGTTTTTTTCTGCCTTCCTCTGAAGCATCAGGGATTGGCCACAGATGGAAACAGGAAACCAAACGGCGTAGATGAATGCTCTGAGGTGGTACAAAGAATCTTCCTTCTGAGGTGCCAGACTCACATGACTTGCTCACATGTCCAAGGTTAAACTCCTCATCAGATTTGGGTCAGAAAGGAATTTTCCTACATGTCAGATTGGTGGGAGATGTTGGCACATTTTGCCTTCCTTTGCAGCATGGGGCATGGTTTATCTGCTGGGATAAACTAGACATAGAACACCTAGTCAATTCGCTCCCACTGTAGGGGCCTTGGGCATTGGTGGCATATTGGTCACTCCTGTTCTCTGTCTCTGGCACACAGAACTAAACTCTGAACTCAATATAGCTGAAATAGAAAGGCTTGTGATATACAAGACGTCAGACTACATGATGTAATGGTGGCCTTAAACTGTGAAAGTATGAGATCAAAAAGGGCACTGAAGAGTTAAAAAAGCAGTCTCTGGAGAAGAAAGAGGGTCAGTTGTCAAAAGCATCTCAACTGACACAGACAGAGCTTCTGTGGAGGGAATCTGAAGGAGCTGGCAACTCTTATGGAAAGGCTGGCATGCTACAGACTCCTTTAAGCCTTAAGGCAGCTGTCTGGTTACTGGTTACCACTGCCATTGCTTCTGGAGAGGACAGAATTGTTGGGCCTGCTGAGGTAATCACAGATGATGTATATCGGTCTGCAGCTTGGGACAGCACTAAGATTGGGGGGGGATCATATGATTCCATCCCAACAGAAATTATTCCTCCAGGTCTCGGACCTGAGCTCTTTTGCAAAAAGGCATTCTTCCTCATAGAATGAGGAATACTTATGCCAGAAAAACCCTCTGTTCTTTCGATATTTTTTCACAAAAACATGCTTGAGGTGTGGACGCTCCACAAGTTTTTTTTCCGATTTTTTCACAAAAACATGCTTGAGGTGTTGACGCTCCACAAGTTTTTTTCCAAAAACGGCCGTTTTTCTGAAAAAACTCTGTGGGGTAGACATAGCCTCAAAATACATTCAACCAAAACTGACAGTCCTATTCAGGAGCCCACTTCCTGAGCCCAGAAGTGCTGTTGTTCAAGGAAGTGTGATGGCAGATCAGCTGAAGTTGTATGGAAAAGTCTTATGTTCTTAAATACAGAGATGCTTGCTCTTCAGTGCAAAGCAGCAAAGAGGAAGCTGATGTATGCTGGAGACATTCCAGGCTCTAAAAAGCTTTGTTAATATATTGCCACCAAACTGAATAAAGATTTGTGTGATTTTCTGACCTCCAGAGAAATCACTCCCCTCTAGAAATACTGCTAAGTCATCCCTTTTATGGATGATTTTACCCCAGAGCTCATAAAAAATATGAGGATCGATCTTTTTCTTTTTCTTTGCAATACCCCAAATTACAGGAAGTGTCAAGGGCCTTTTTTGCTTCTTCTTCTTTTAGTAAAAAAGACTAGGGGAGTTTATCTCACTATCTCCTCCCTACAGGATTTTTATTCCCCTATTTGAGGTTATACACTGTGTTCTAAAAATACAAACCAAAAAGTGAAATCCCTTGCCAGCTGCATGGAAACTTTTTAAAGACCCAGTAATAGAGGTTCAACTTCAATTTATACCCCAAGTTAAAAAAAAAAACATAGAGAGCCAAAAAAAGTGCCAAT